GACTTGTGCACAAGCACCAGTTAGTAACACTGAATAACCACATTGTGAGCACACACCAGTAACCAACTGCCCAAGTCAGCTTGATCATAGAAATGGAGGCTTCTTTAAATGGATATGGAGTAAAGGGGTCCTCGTGTAATTACCTCGGCTTGTGCACTGACACTGTTGCATTCACTTTTGACATTAGCTTCACATTTGAAGTGACAAGTGCGCAACAGGATGCCGTATTGCAAACCCTCCGGTCACATCAAAGAGTTGTGATGGTGGGTGTCTCAGCACTGCAATATCACATAAAGCAATGTCTACGATTGATGTCTGCATAATCAATGGCAAGTGTGGACGTTTAACGCAATCACTTTACTTTTACTTTTTTGTAAGAAGCATTTGAACTTGTTTGACACCCTAATGAGGTGTGAGCAATCACGGTTACCTGAATATGACTATTGAAGTTGTCACTTGAATTGCACCGGGATGTCGAGTGACTCACGAGTGGCACACCATGTGGTGCCACATGAATCAAGGCAATTGAGTCAACCTCTCCACAGATCCGCTCCGATGAGAATGCTCATGTGTGTGGATGGCACTACTTTACAGTGCAACACAGAGTCAGTGCTCAAACAGCCTAAGACACCACGATACGGTATAGCGTGTGCGGCAAAATCAAAGAGGTAATTTTTAAGACCACCACTATGCTTACTACCCACCATCTTTCAAATGGAAAGCGATTTCTCTCTACTCTTCACTGAACTGAATGCTTCGGATGGAGTCGGTGGAACCTACGACTAATTTGATTGCTCGCATTGCCTAAGACATTACCAATTATATCAGCATACTTAATCCTCTTAACTTGGCTACGATGAGATGAATGCCGACTTCTTCGTTACCTTAATATCATAAATACGTATTTTAAAGGTAGAGTTGAAAATACTACAGTTTTATCTTTATTGTAAAGGCGTAAACGTTTGTGCACTGTATGAAGTCCTTACAGAATGCCCTCTTCGTAGTATGCATCATAGTGTACCTGAATTCTTAAGAGATCGAAACAAGTCACAATGATATAATTAACAACGTCCATTTAAATCGCATTCCACATGGTATTGGTTGTGTACTGATTTTCGTATCCCCGTGTTTAAGTCTATGTCAAGCAAGATTTCATTAACGCAAATATAGGTTGCTCGAGATAAACGAGGTTGGGGAGTTCGTGTGCAAATGAGTGCGAACTCTACTGTTGAAGGACCTCTTTCATGTTACATGAAGTGCACCTCGTGACCACTGCCTTAAGCGATACCACCACTTCGTGCATTATCCCTACACCGCATATCTCATACATTCCTTTCATTTGCACCTAAAAGAAGGTAAAAATGAAGAATTGTTAATGGCGATTTGGTATAGGTGGTGAGACAAATGTCGAGGAAATTCAGGTAGGTGCTTTATGCATAATCCTACAATTCCATTGTCTGCTTTATGTTAAGGCCAGAAATGAAAGATAACTTAAAAATTAATAGAAGGATTTTGGTCCTTTTTAGTGAGAAACAATTGGTGTCAGATAATGCGGTCTTATTTGAAAGGCTCAGATTTAAAAGTCATATAGGTCTGCGGCATTTTGGGGTCAATGTTCCTTCTGCATTAAAAGTGGCCTCACACCTATGTTAAATGCTGTGGTGTAGTCTGCTGATAATTAAGTTCCCCATAAGTCAGAATACTTTTTTGTGCCATGAGCAGAAATTTTAATATGCTCGCTGAGAAGCAGAAGTTCTTCAGTAGAATTTGAGCACTACCTTGAGAATCTAGAATAAATTGCATAATAGCGTAATCAACCAATGCAAGTGGAAAAGCAGATATAATTATATATGGGTGGGTGACATGCTGACTTACTTCATCGTAGGCTTATAAGGTTAAACATGACGAATTGATTTCTAAGAGGTGGGTAAAGAGCTAGATTATTCTACTGTAACATTCACAAAGGATCCATCGAATTCGTGATATTTGCGATAGAGGAAGTAAGTATCTCAGTGATCGTATGTAGGATGAATAGTAAGACTAGAAAAGAGGAGTTAAATTGTTAGTATTTCCTCAGCATTTCCTAGTTCCTGTACCATAGTGAGCTCGCAATTGATCTATATTTACTAATGGGGTTAACACGTGAGATCTTTTGTGCGTTGTGGATTCTGCAGAGCCTCCAAGCCGACAAATGGGCAGGAGTGAAAGCATTGAAAACGCACAGTCTTATTTGTGGAACTGTGTGTATGGTCTTTGGAATGGCTCTGAACCTACTGCTGTGCGTGGGATTATGGATAGCATTTTCTCTATTTCGTTTTGGTCACTGGGGAGAAGTGATAGAGGGTGCAAATGGTGGAATGCGATGTAACTTCCAGGGAATGGCGTGCGGCAGGTAGACTCGCAGAAAGCGAGAGTGTAAATGTTTATCTGGAGATGTGGTTATCCACCCCACATGTAGCATTGACAAGGCATATCGGAGTCCATGTGATTAACTGATAAATCTGTGGGTCAATTTTGCCACAACTTACCTAACCAGGCATGGGACAATATTTGAAATCGGCTGAACAGTACTGCTTTTATCAGAACAAGGTTGTTGCAAATGTGGTCGCTATTGGTTTTCTACCCTGGTATGGTTCCGTTTGTCTACACTTTTAATCCTCCTATGGTAACCTTTATTTTAACGTGAGGGGAAAGAATTGTGTGTGACATGTGTGGTAGATAAAAGTAGCTTACGGGATGACGTCTCGATTTATCAGCTAGACAATTTTCATTGGCTTATCAACAATCACGCTCGAATGATTCGTGACGTATTTACAACAGGATGAATTATCTGGGTGAGTTAAGTGTGTTGATAAATTCTTGGGATTATTTTAATAGTTCAACATTTTTATAACTTACGTTTAAATTTATCGCTTAGTATTTAACTATTATACGTGTTGATGAGGGGGCAAATGACCTACAAACTAGTGGCACCTGTGCTTTCCATCAAAGGCCACTATGGTGACTTGTGAGGGCATTACAAATGAGCAAAATACTTCAATGAGATTTCCACATTGCCAGACGTGCATCAATATATTAACAGAAATGAAACAAATAATACTGTTTAAATACAATTGTAAAAGGAAGCCTGTTTACTCACTATATAGGTCCTAGGTTATGATGCAGCTCCTGAGTCTTTCCTGAAATCACAAGAATTTACACTAGTATGGCAGGAGATGTACTACTGACGTACAGAAGAGGTGAGGCTACTTGCATAACCCGGAGCCCACACCGCCGAGTGCAAGTACAATCGGCTGTGCCGTAAATGCCCGCATGGTTAAACGCAGAGTTAAACAAACCACCAAAGCATTACAATTGGTTATTCAGAACATTATGATTTCTTGATTTATCTACTTTACCTGTGGGTTTTTTGGGTTTTTCCGTCAAGGAGCTAAAGCCTAAAAGTAGCTTATGGTTAGTTTCACTCAAGGCTAACTTTACAGACAAACTACTTGCATGATGGTTTTATTGGTTTCCTGTATATTACTAAGCTTTTTGAAGAACAGCCCTATGCAGAACTGTTTCTAAAGAGACCCCTTAGTAGCAAGCTACGCTAAAATTACCCTAAATATGCACCTGTATTTCGTCATTTGTAATCAGGTTATAGTCTTATATTTATTTGGCAGCCAAAGGTTCTAGAATTTATACCACTGGAAATGAATATACACCACAAACTAAAAGGCAGGCTAAGAGACTACTGGTTTAGGTGACATGAGCAGGAGTCCTTTTGACCTTCGCAAAGCTAGATACACTTCTTCGGTTAATTAAATAATTAGTACGTGAGTAAGTAGCCCTTGATAGTTAAATAATGGACTTAGTAGCAGGTACAACTTTAGCAAAAAAAGATTTGTGGTAACTAATCTTACTGTTAAGTCACAACAGGCTGATTAGTAAAGGAAAAGCCATTGAGCAATTTGGGCAGATGGGTGTTACTCAACGCGTAGAAATTAACCGATTGACCAACTCATTATGGCATCAGCATTTACTCCTCCTAACGCGATCATTTAGTTTTCTCCTTGGGCTGTTCCAAGCCGACTTTAATTACGCGCCATTGACGATCAACTAATGAAGGTGCTTAAAAGTCATTCAACAATTGACCCATCAATATTCAATATATTATTGGATTGTCTAATGAGAAACCAATATCTACCACAGGAATTATAATCAACGATTTGATTTAAGCCATTGCATTTCGAGCAACCTGACCACTAATGACAAGGTCAGAAGGCTCTTAATAAGGATACTTGACTAGCTCAAACCAGCATCAATTCTGCGTGTAGTACACAGAACACAGCGAAATTTAGCCAATCGCGATGCCTGACGAATCACCTTTACTGCCCTGATCCTTATAGATATAGAGATTTTAACTACCTGCATTCATTTCAACTTTGAGCCTTAAAAGAAAAGAATGAGGCGACCCACAATGCTGGTGCTGCTTTTCATTCTCATCGGCACAGCTCCCTTGATGTATCGGTGGCATCGCCATCCTACAATATTCGTCATCACACCGACCTACTCACGCCCAAACCAGATGCCCGAATTAGTACGCCTATGTACTGTTTTAAACACTGCTGGCAATGTCCACTGGATAGTGGTTGAGGACGCAGTGACCAAAAATAGGTAGGAGCATCATAGCTTTGTCAAGTGCGCTGCTCTACTTCTCAATCTCATTTCCACCATGTTTACTTCAAACAATCAATTTTGTTAAGAGCATTGACTCGATTTCTCGATGATTGCGGCCTTCCCTATACTCACTTGAGCGCACCAACATCCCCGTATAAGAGGCACGTTCGAGGGACGAATCAACGTAATGAAGCTCTGCATTGGTTGCGAAAGTCATTTCAGTTAACCGGGCAATCCGGAGTCGTGTACTTTGCGGATGATGACAACACCTATCACCCAGATCTCTTTGATGAAGTGGGTATATACAGTCGCCTTTTGTCCCATTTTTCCAACTTCTGATATATTATCGGCATTGAAGTGACCAATTATGTGATCATCGCGATAGTCCGGGTATTTTGCCATCGAAAATATACTAAAGAATAGATTACATATAGCACTTATTTAACGATAACTACATACAGATGTCTATAAAACCGGTTTGGATATAGATTTGTTGCATTTGAAATTAAAGGCGAATTGTCCTCAACTAGGCATGATTTTGGGCAGCCGAAAATTCCTTTCATCGACAACAGAGTTACACGACTCACCATGGATTTCATTTACAAGATATTTTCCTCAGCAGTTAGGAAGGTTTTACTTAAAATCACCAATTCTGTAAGGAATTGCAGAGAAAAAGTCATTCACAAAAATTGTTTTAGATGCGAACACTTAGAAGAGGAGCAACATGGCCCGTGGGCATGATAGCTGCATCTAACTGGGAGGGATGCATCACCAATCCTAACGATCGCAGCAAGATATCAGACTTCTGGACTAATTGGGAGCCCAATCGGAAGTTCCCTATTGACATGGCAGGTTTTGCAGTCAATCTCAACGTGGTTTTGGAATATCCAAACGCCCTGTTTGACGACACTACTATCGGAAGGCAGGAAGGTCTAATACTTTTGAGGCTTGGCTTCAAAAATGGTTATGAGTTGGAACCAAAAGCTGATGGCTGCAGGAAGGTTAGCCTGTTTGTAACACATTTTTTTCTTGATTAACTTTGAACCAGTGGATTTGTAATGATGCATGCAGATTATTCTTATAGATCCTTGTTTGGCATACAAAATCAGCCACCCAGGATGTACAAGTGATCGGGCCAGCTACCATTATGAATATGTTATGAGACTATTGTACAAATCGTCCAGTATCTGCTGCTCTAGTCTCCCACTTTTAAAATATTTTTTTTCATTGCATATTGTTGTGTCTGTAAATGCATCGATACAAAGTTTTGGGAAATGTTCTCTCTAGAAGTAACTTATTCATGGCTTTTAATGAATTTCTTTTGCATGAATACACAATTTTTCTTTTTAATAATCTCAATCCTTAGTAACTAAAAAGAATCCTCTTTCAAAGAGTAGGATTTTGATGAATTTTTAAGGATTTTTACACGAATGCAATGCAAAATCCCCCTTAACAGTCCAAAGTAAAAACTGGAGTAAGATCCACGGTTGAATATAGCTGTGTAAAGGAAAAGGGTTTACATTTAAATCCGTCTTTGAAGCATGTCTACTTCGATTGAAGAGCCGATCAAATGGCAGCGAAGCAGTACTGAAACCGATTAGGCTGTTTTTCATCCATGGAACGAGGAGAGTGCGTGGAAGTGCATATCATTACTTGAGCAGTGATATTGGGGGTTATGATCTGCCAAGGCGTAGAGAAGATGGACGTTTGTTTCCTTCTTACGGGGCTAAAGGTGGGAGCTCCGTCACATGGTTGGCGTCAACCCACCGCTTTTACACCTGAAAGGTTTTTTCAAACACATACGGATTACAGTACGATGTGAATATAATATCACATGCATGAGTGCAAGTAATAGTTGGTAAATTTGAACCATAAAATTCATTTCACTTCTGAACTCCCGTTAAAGTAAGTCTACATAATAATGGTTCTATGGGAAAATAACCGGTTATCTATTACTCACAATTCTAATTTAGTTCCGAAGAAAAACTGCCATATGAGATGATCAGGATGGCTTTAAAGGATGCAAATATGCCTTACTATGTAGATTGCGTACACATCACTTTAGCTCCTCTCTGCAATTACTTGGATATCCGAGGCTTCCTTGAAGTTTTAAGGAGTCACAGTAGTATGGCAGAACAACTGAGAGGTTACAGGCCTAATCCGGCTTCTGTACCTCAGAGGTGCTGGCGTACTCAAACGTAGACTTAACCCAACTATAATGGAATTGCAATTCACTTAAACATTTACTGATTAAAAACACTGGCACACTTGCTATGTAGCACAATAATAAATTTCGCTTCAGTAGCGCTGCTGCACATGATTCAAGAGATGAATTATTGTCGTTTTGTTCACTTGCTCCAATTTTAAGTTTATGCGTCTCTGATCTCAGCAGCCCTAGCCAGCATAATTTGTAAATTTACGCACATTCGACTACTAAGGATACGTCTTCTGTTCCATTTGATGTGGGATGCATGCAAAGATTGGGATTCACCAAAGCAGTCGAGGAAGCAGTTCAAAATCCGAATATATTGAGTGAGGTGCATAGTGAGAAAAATCAATGCAGATTTGTGTTGTTCGTTCTAATCTTGCATTCAACAGTTGCAAGTGGCCACCAAAAAATTCCCAGTCTAGGAATTTCATTAAAGGGGAAGCATAATAAACGGTTATAGTGTTGTCATTTGACTTGTATTGGCTGGTAAGGCAGATTTGGAGAAAGTTGGATAAAAAAGCGTCTAGTTGCTACTTCATGGCATTCGTCTTTATTTGTAAAAATGAAAACATAGCTTGCGCGGGCTGAAAGTAAGCTTTGCTCCTTCCGACACCACCACTTCTCTTGCCGTTATGGATCGGATATCTGTAAGACGCCGCTGATCCTGGTTCAAGTTATTTTAAGGTTAAACATACCCACGTAAGACAGAGGGGTGAAGTTGCTCAGAGGAGGAGCATAAAGTGCTTCGCACAACAAATGTACTGAATTACCTAAGTACCGCCTTCTTAGTGGAATGCTGTGCCAGTAAGTAAAATGGAGTCCGGTGTTGTTTACTACACCAAAGCCCACTAATAGCAGGCAAATGCAAGCCTTGGTGTAAGTAAACCCAACTTTTGACGAATAATTTTTCGCATCAGGCAATTTAATGCAACTTGACATAGTTTTACCACTACTGCTTACAATTTTGGCAGTATTTGCAACTTTCGTTATGACGAATTAGCAACGTGCACTAACCCTATGGGCCAAGTGAGTGGATTGTTTGAAGGTTAGCCAATCCTATGATCGACTGATTAAAGAGGCAAAATATTCCATTTCTAATCACAAATTCTCATCAGCGCATCAGCAGGGTGTAATCCATCGACTCTTCTGGCACATGGCATGCATGCACTCAGCAACAAACACGATTTCATTAGTTGAAGTGAGATTGTTCATTGCAAACTCTTTTAACTAACATAGAAATATTTTTTTGCACATACCTACCTAGATATAAGCACTATTTCAGTAATACAGAGAAATGTGTACATATCACTGCTCAAATAAAGATATCATCATATCCGTACTCTACTCGAACCATGGGTACGAAGCAGCTGATTACGCTACACTATTGCTCCGCTGCAGTGTAATTGGCATTTCCCTCAATTAAAGTAGTCAATGGTTTAATGACAAATTTAAACGCAGAGTTCCTCAGTGAAAGTGATTAACTAGGATAAGTCTTACTCAAAATCCAGTTCAGACCATCATGTTAAGTGATGGTCAATTAGGAATTCAATAGTGCATTCACGTCAACAATCTCCGTGAATGTCCTACAATCCGGTGCTTTGCATAAGGGTTCTTAGTAGAATTAGGAGTTAAAAATGTTCAACAATGGTATCTATTTGTCACAAGTTCATACAATATATTAAAATAAATGAACTTCTGGTGACTAGGATAAACTTTGCCAAATTCATTATCTGGATGGATTTACAGGCAAAATTGTAGCTGATCTATCAAGTAGTAATACAAAAATATTACACGAAAGAAGGCAGGCACTGCAGCTTGTGGACATTTCGTACTTAAGCCTAAATAATAAGCTCTCAGTGGCAGATGGCTCAACAACTTTTGCAGCTTATTTAGCTGAATTCGTATGCCAAACAAGGAGAAACAAAGGTAATCTAGATACTTTGCAGCACAACCACTAAACCAAAGTTAAGGGAAGGTAAAATGATTATCGCAAAAACTCTTACCTCCCTGCAGTTGCAAGCTCTAGGCTCCAACTCATAAGCCTTTTTGAAACCAAGGCCGGCAGGTACTACACCCTCTTGTTCGGATACAATTTTGACACCAAACAGGGCACTTGGGTGTTGCAAAACCAAGTTGAGATTGACTGTAAAGTCTGCCATGTCAACAGGGGATCGGTGACGCATCCCTCCAGTCAGATAAAGGCAGCAAACCTACAGACCATGCTGCTTTTCTTTTAGGTGTTTGTATCTAAAGCAATCCTTTGAATAGTACTTTATCCCTTTCCCCAAAATTCTTTACGAAATTGGTGCTTTTAAGGAAAAGGTTTACCAAGGACTCGATAAAACTTTTTAAATAAAAGCCTTGGTAACACGTGTGGTGCTATTTTCGACGATCGTAATTTATGGTAACGCAAAGTCATGAATAGACGGGGATGCTGCACCTCGTATTCCTAATATGGCAATTCTATCCCCAACAGTTTGCAGTCGCTCCATAAGCATCGGCAGAGAGAGCCTATTAAAAGATTTTTTTGGATAGAATTTACCTCATGGTGAAACATTACCCCAAGTTGTCAGAAAATGTTTAAAAATAGTTCCGCTACGTCTGTAAGCGACTGCCTCAAAATGAAAGTCAAATACCTATTTTATATAAAAGCATTCCCATAGTTTTTTTTACAGGTATTTATGGATTCCAGATGGCAAACTAACTTGAGTCCGGATTGCCCGGTTAACTGAAATGACTTTCGCAACCAATGCAGAGCTTCATTACGTTGATTCGTCCCTCGAACGTGCCTCTTATACGGGGATGTTGGTGCGCTCAAGTGAGTATAGGGAAGGCCGCAATCATCGAGAAATCGAGTCAATGCTCTTAACAAAATTGATTGTTTGAAGTAAACATGGTGGAAATGAGATTGAGAAGTAGAGCAGCGCACTTGACAAAGCTATGATGCTCCTACCTATTTTTGGTCACTGCGTCCTCAACCACTATCCAGTGGACATTGCCAGCAGTGTTTAAAACAGTACATAGGCGTACTAATTCGGGCATCTGGTTTGGGCGTGAGTAGGTCGGTGTGATGACGAATATTGTAGGATGGCGATGCCACCGATACATCAAGGGAGCTGTGCCGATGAGAATGAAAAGCAGCACCAGCATTGTGGGTCGCCTCATTCTTTTCTTTTAAGGCT